ACACACACACACACACACACACACACACACATTAATGACATGTTACAGCAACTAATGCTCACTTCATAGGCTCATACAGTTTGACAGAGCAGTGCGTTATGTTGTGTTGTGTGTGTGTGTGTTGTGTAGTTGTTGTGTAGTTGTTGTGTAGTATCACAGATCCTCTCTACAGAAGATGCTGCATTACAGGGAGAGCCAGTGGTATGAAGTGGGACACAGTTCCGGTCTCCTGTGGGTGCTGTCCCTCAGCCCCTCCCTCAAGTGACAGTAGCTAATATTAATCTACCTCGGTCTAGACTCTCTGCATTGTCTGGGAACAACAGACAGATGTGTGACAGTGTGTGACAGTGTGTGACAGTGTGTGACAGTGTGTAGAGTGTGTAGAGTGTGTAACAGTGTGTGACAGCGTGTCGAGTGTGTAACAGTGCGTAACAGTGCGTAACAGTGTGTGACAGCGTGTCGAGTGTGTAACAGTGTGTAACAGTGTGTAACAGTGCGTAACAGTGTGTAACAGTGTGTAACAGCGTGTCGAGTGTGTAACAGTGTGTAACAGTGCGTAACAGTGTGTAACAGTGTGTAACAGTGTAACAGTGTAACAGTGTAACAGTGTAACAGTGTAACAGTGTAACAGTGTAACAGTGTAACAGTGTAACAGTGTAACAGTGTAACAGTGTAACAGTGTAACAGTGTAACAGTGTAACAGTGTAACAGTGTAACAGTGTAACAGTGTAACAGTGTAACAGTGTAACAGTGTAACAGTGTAACAGTGTAACAGTGTAACAGTGTAACAGTGTAACAGTGTAACAGTGTAACAGTGTAACAGTGTAACAGTGTAACAGTGTAACAGTGTAACAGTGTAACAGTGTAACAGTGTAACAGTGTAACAGTGTAACAGTGTAACAGTGTAACAGTGTAACAGTGTAACAGTGTAACAGTGTAACAGTGTAACAGTGTAACAGTGTAACAGTGTAACAGTGTAACAGTGTAACAGTGTAACAGTGTAACAGTGTAACAGTGTAACAGTGTAACAGTGTAACAGTGTAACAGTGTAACAGTGTAACAGTGTAACAGTGTAACAGTGTAACAGTGTAACAGTGTAACAGTGTAACAGTGTAACAGTGTAACAGTGTAACAGTGTAACAGTGTAACAGTGTAACAGTGTAACAGTGTAACAGTGTAACAGTGTAACAGTGTAACAGTGTAACAGTGTAACAGTGTAACAGTGTAACAGTGTAACAGTGTAACAGTGTAACAGTGTAACAGTGTAACAGTGTAACAGTGTAACAGTGTAACAGTGTAACAGTGTAACAGTGTAACAGTGTAACAGTGTAACAGTGTAACAGTGTAACAGTGTAACAGTGTAACAGTGTAACAGTGTAACAGTGTAACAGTGTAACAGTGTAACAGTGTAACAGTGTAACAGTGTAACAGTGTAACAGTGTAACAGTGTAACAGTGTAACAGTGTAACAGTGTAACAGTGTAACAGTGTAACAGTGTAACAGTGTAACAGTGTAACAGTGTAACAGTGTAACAGTGTAACAGTGTAACAGTGTAACAGTGTAACAGTGTAACAGTGTAACAGTGTAACAGTGTAACAGTGTAACAGTGTAACAGTGTAACAGTGTAACAGTGTAACAGTGTAACAGTGTAACAGTGTAACAGTGTAACAGTGTAACAGTGTAACAGTGTAACAGTGTAACAGTGTAACAGTGTAACAGTGTAACAGTGTAACAGTGTAACAGTGTAACAGTGTAACAGTGTAACAGTGTAACAGTGTAACAGTGTAACAGTGTAACAGTGTAACAGTGTAACAGTGTAACAGTGTAACAGTGTAACAGTGTAACAGTGTAACAGTGTAACAGTGTAACAGTGTAACAGTGTAACAGTGTAACAGTGTAACAGTGTAACAGTGTAACAGTGTAACAGTGTAACAGTGTAACAGTGTAACAGTGTAACAGTGTGTAACAGTGTAACAGTGTAACAGTGTGTACCTGGTGGAGCGGATCATGCGGGCCAGCAGCGTCCTCTTCTCCTCCAGAGTGAACTGCATCACTCCTGGAGTCTCAAACTTCTGTCTGATCCACTGACACTGCTCCAGGTCGTTGATGAACATGAACTCCACCCCGATGTGTTGACAGTACGCCATCTGAACCACAACCACCACAGGGTCAGCACTGAGGGGGTGGGGGGTGGGGGGGTGGACTGGGAACCTCACAACTTAATTCAAACTTCTTGATTTCAAAATTACAATATCTTGAGGCTCTTAATCCACTGAACGATCATCAGAACATCAACATCATACAAACACCTGATGATTCAGCTGCTCCACTCTAATGCAGCATCCACCCAAACATCAAAGACTGACACAAGGAATCATGGGAAAAATACTTGTCTGGGGCCTCGGGGGGCAAAGAAGAAACAAGTTCGTCTGGACAAGAACAGAACTTCCTGTTTGTGTTTGTACATTCGTTTGTCACATGACTGAGGTTTGAGGCAGGAAAGCAGGACCCGGCTGAACCAGGGGCTTCTGGGTGATAAAACCATCTTGAAGACATTAAACTGATGACTAATCAGTGATCAATAAACGTATCTGTGAGTGTTTTACCTCCAGGCGGCGGATGATCTCCTTCAGGGGGAGGGCGCTCTCTGAACCTCCGATGAAGGTGGTAGTGGGCAGGCGGAACACCTTGTCCAGGTCAGAGTCATCCAGACCGTAGAAGCCTACACGTCCCATGATGCACCACAGGAGGGGAGGGGAAGAGGAGGGGCAGGAGGGTTTTATGGGAGAAAAAAAGAGGGCAGGAGGTGAAGACGGGTCGAAGGATGGAGGGAGCACAGACACAGAGAGACGGCAGACAGATGAAAAGACGAGTGAGTCATGATGAAAATGTCTCAGGAACAACATGGAGGAAAAAC